TTAGCTCTTATGATTCCCATGTATTTCAGACTATGTCACTTAGAGAATTGGGATGGAGATGTGAAGCTTGCAGTCACTGTTCGAATTAAGGTTTTATGCAAATAGAAAATTTACATTGTTTTAGATCCATGCAATTTGTATCAGCCTCTTACTGTATAGAAGGGATCTGTACATGTTACAAAATTAATATGGTAAGTGATATGCAGCACTAACCCAATGTTTTGCTTGTTTGTTGTCTATTACTTATCTGTCTTGTCTTTCAGACTGCAAGCTCTTGGGGCAGGGACTGTGTACCACTTAGCATGATGGGAGGGGTTCCCCCCAACTTGGGACCTTTTAGCACTACTCTAATGTAAATAATAATAATAACGAGAATTATAAACCAAAGTCTAAACTCTAAATGTTGGCAGATTTCATCTTTCCTGAGTTCCAGGGGCTTGGTTTGGGCCCATCACTCAAAAGATTTGATAGGCAAACATTTGGACAAAAGCTAAATTTCATCCAATGCCACCCTTCCTCTAAAAGATTAAGAATAAAATGCACTTTCTAATCATGAACATGCTGAATCTGGCCAATGCTTTCAGGATGGGAAGCCCAGCTCATTCCATCCAAGTTTAAAAAATATTTTTGCATAAACTGAAAAGTTTAAGTAAGTCCTGTCAAACAAAAATAAATTGATATATATGACCTTAGAAGTAGATTATGGGTGACATCTTGGCTCTTTGGGGGTAGGATGTAGTGGTTACATAACCAAAATTATTTTAATTAGAAGATCTAGTATGATAACAACTGGCTGCAGAGGGGGATTATAACTACTCACTCAGTCCCCAATGCAGCCAAGCATTTAAGCATGTGCTTAAGTACATTCTTATTCAACAAAGCATTTAAATACGTGCTTTACTTTCAGCATGTGCCCACGTCCCACTGAAAACTGATGAATCATGGTCCTAAACCTTTGGTTCTGCCATTTACTCCTTTGTAAATATGATGGGAAAATGTACTCAGTGCATCTGACCTACAGCTCAGAAAGTGCAAATTGAAAGACTGCCCTCTTGCTCAGTTCCCTAAAAACTAACAAATCTCTTTATCCCTTGATCAGTTTTCAGAACTCCCACTATCATTATATGAATGGATTAAGTGGGAGATTAAGCAGCCATTTTCTTTAGACATAGGCTGTAAAGGTGGCCTAGAGAAAGACAGTGTCATATGTCAGAAGGCTATATAGAGAGTTTTCCTCCTAGAAAATTACAACCTAGCCCTGGCTTTTAGATGTTGATAGCAACAGTAATATATAATATATAATTGACCTTCCTGAGAAAGAGAATTTTAAAATAATCAAAAGCTAATTGTGCAATCTGACTAGACAGCCCATAAATACAAGCTCAAGAAAAGCCTGCACTAACACACAAAAAGAGTAAATAGTGAGTCAATGTGAGTCAGAGCTAGACTACACATGGCAAAGCTTGTAAATAAAACATGCCAGTCAATATGTTCTCCCAGTTCTACATGACAATTTAGTACCGTAGTTTGGCATTGAATTAATGAATTAAAAAAATATAAACACATTAAACATTTATGCCAAAATGCTTTTCAGTTCCAAAACTGTTCCAGGCAGACAAAGAGAACTCTTTGGTGGAGATTTCCACCAGCATTTTCCTTTATTATCCTAACATTTCATCATTGCACATTGATCTTCTCAGGGCAGACATAAACTGCCCTTCATCTCAAGCATGGAGTGGGAATGGCTAAAATCACAATGCGAATTCACAGTTCTGTTGGACTTCCCAACATCTGTGCATAGGAAACTCTGAAACACTTCTTGGGGGAAAACAAAATCAGGTGGTATGTGACCAATCGATTTTGGCAAAGCCAGACTGAAAATGAAAACTGTTGTTTTGTGCCTCTGCAGAAGGACTCCTGGCAGCCAGGGCACAAGTCCTCAGGAAGACTGGGGAAGACCTAATGCTTACTAGTACTTGCATGTGACTTCAGAATAAGTGTGCTAGCGGCTGAAGCGCTGAGCCCACCTGAAGATGTGATGCCCAGAAGTGGGCAACGGGTATCAGTTCTCCTATAGCTTTTTGAGTGCTTTGAAGGGATCCTTCCCATTTTGGTGCTTTTGTTCCATTATAGTTTAGGTGCTATGAAAACACAAGAGGTTTTATTGTGTTTTTAAAGTTGACATGTTGTTTCTGTCAAAGCTGGCAATTAGCCTCTCTCATCTGAAGAAGCTGATTGGCTGTTGTGGGAAACATTGTGAAATCAAAGAAATACGGTAAGGAAAATCCTGAGTAAAAAAACCAAGCCTTCTGCTTCAATAATAAAGGCAAACCCACACTTCCCAAAAGTCAACATTGAAATTGCCTTTCAAAGTCTCACAGACAGATTAGTTTCAAAGAAGAGATTTACGTTTGGGAGGACTGAAACTGGGTTTTATTAGGAGTAACCCTAAATGATACTGCCCCCTAATGATAATCATTGTATGACTCATCCACAGAGTTATCGGAAATGCTACTTTGCATTGGCTCACAACAATTCACAAACGTACATACAGGATAGCTATAAAATCAGAAGGCAAAAGCAACCCTATTTTCCATTTCTCACGTTCGTGATGCCTCACAAAACACAGTGATTGGAAAACATTTTAATTTGTGAAATATGGGATGTAATTCATGCTACATACGGATACCTCAGCATTTTAGCCTAGGAAATGGTCTTTTCAAGAGTGTTTGGTATTAGCCATCATGCAAAAACAATTAGTTGTTCAAGCAATTAAGAAGGTAAATATCCCCTAAAAGGGTTTTGTGCTTTTCAAGCCTTAAATGCAACAGTTATAGACCCAAAGGCTGTTCCTGAGAGTTAGGTTATTTTTTGTTGCTTGTCTGAATGGGTTTCTTTGGATCATGTGTTGTAAATCCTTGAAGCTCTTTTAGCTACGGATTGAGCTTCCGATGAATTCTCTTCTTGTTCCTCGGCCCTCTTATGTTTTAAAAATATGTCTGACTTTAAGAAGCGGCTGTAGCTGTCGTACTTCATGAGATTGAATATCTGGGGGAGGGAAACGAAACAAAAACAATGACTCAAATAAAATAGATCCTAAACCAGAAAGATAATAGGAAAGTTCTAAAATTTTGTTGCCAGCACTAAAATGTATTGGCCAGAAAGCATGACATTAAAATAAATCTTATATACTCTAAAAGTGATTGTGTATAACAAACAGTATTATGGGGTTCCATGTTCATTAATGTCGATATCAAATTTGATCAGCTTATGGGCCAAATGATGGTTTTCCTGCCTGAGAACACGGCAAATGCAACCTGACGTTTGAAAGCTGGACTCTCACATCACCACCTGTAGTAAAGGGTCTGCAGCTGGCACTTAGTTACTAATTGTATATGATGTACAAGTGAGGACATAACCCAGCTCCCACCCATAGCGAGGTCGACTCTGCAGGGCGACCAGGAGAAAAAACGTAATGAAGATGGCATTCGGTCGGTGCAGTAAAAAGATGTGACTCAGAGCTGGATACATTCACTTTTCTAATCATAACCACACTTGACTATCACAGTAGAGCCTGAGCGCACACACACAGCACTGAGATATTAACAAAAGAGCCTCTAAATAATTTAAGCAGACAAACGGTTGCAGGTGCAAATGTGTCACTGATTGAAATAGCTGGCTTGTCCAACACTCCTGTAGCTTAGCTCACACTTACAACTGGCTTAGCCAACACTTGTTACTCACATGAGGGTGATACCCTGGTTCCATTCAAGACAATGGAATTTTGCCATTGACTTCAGGGAGACCAAGATTTGACCCACAGTGTGTACAGGGGCACAAGGCACTATATAATAATAAATATTTCACCTGAAAATTCTTCATGCTTTTTGTTTCAAAATAAATATTTTCTCTCCATTTCCTTTTTTTAGGTATTTTTGGGAGCTAGTTACATTGTCTTTTCTCTTCCAGGACTTCTAGTTCCCTGCCATTCTTGAACTCAGCTTCATCCTCCAACTCAGTTGTTTTCTCCCTTCCTACTTCCATCTATTTCTAAGCAAACTCCTACAACTTACTTGGATTTTTACTACCACCACCAAAAAGTCTCTAGTGTTCTCAATTGTCTAGGTCGTGACTATTTTGCTTGGGCTAGAAAAGCTAGGGGAAAAAAAAAATACTGCAAACCATAACTACAAACCATAATTGAAACAAAACAAAAGCATACATCACCCTCTGGCAATGAATGCACCAGAGTAGCCTCTCTGAGTCACGCTTCGTGACTGATTACATTTTACGGTGCCCAAAGTCACTAAGCTAAGCTTCCAAGCAGAATTTTTGGATTCTCAGCTGCTTCAATAAGTAGGGTTACAAATTCCATGTGTGGATAATTGCAACTGTAGCTTTATGGGTCTCATTTCTAAAATGTTTCAAACTGTTAGTGCAACTGTAGCTTACTGCCTTGTAGAGAAAAAGCTTGTTCTTTTCACCTCTGCAGTAATCTTAGCTACTAAAAACCCTCAATCACATAAAACATGTGCGTGTATGAGCTGTAATATCCTGCTTGTAAAATAAATGTCACAGGGGCTTTCATACTAACTGTTGTTCATTTTTATATGTAAACCATATGAAATCTCTCTGCTTTAATTTAAATGCTAAATGGATTTAAATGAATTTTAACTCAAGTTAGCTACCTCAAGGTAGAATGCTAGCAGTGACAAGGCGCAGGTACTCTTTACTTTGATGTGGCTAGTTGAGGTTAACCCTATATCTCCCACCTGCAGTTGACCTTGACTAGCTACATCAAGATAAAAATTACCTGTGCCGTGTGTCCACTAGCATTCTACATCGAGAGAGCGATCTCAATGTAAAATACACCTTTTTTTTCCGGTGAAGACATAGCCCATCAGAGGTTCATGAGCCAGAGTTTGGGACTTACATTAACAGACCCTCCTTTTCATGGTGACAACAGGGCACCTCTCATGGTGGGCAAATACTGTAAAGATCAAAACCAAGTTGGTAACAGTCCTGGAGTGTGACAACTACACAGATTGCTGAGCTTTTTTTTATAGCCATGCAGAAAGGGAGTTTTCTCTCTCTTTAAACTGAATGGATGAGATTCATTGGCATCTCTGCACAGTGCAGGTGAATGTACCTGGGCAAAGAGTTTGAAATTCACAAGGGTTCTATGAACCACTGAAGTCCCACTTCCCCATACCAAATAGCAGCCTTTGTCCTGAAGTTGTATCCAAATAACTACATACACAGGGCCAAATACTGATTCTTTTACTAATATTTAATAGAACCTTACCCCCACAAGAAGTCCCAGTGAAATCAATCGATCTTCTCGAGAAGTAAATTGCTACTCGCCATGAATAAGGTCAGAGTCTGGCCTTCAAGCTATGCCCTTGTATACTTTATAAACACAGTCAGATCTCAGATTGTCCCCATGGGAGCAAATTATACCACTCCTTGTAACTTAATAAGGATTCAAGCCAGAGAAGAGCATAATTGCTGCTGGAGTACTATGTAGCAGAATCAGACAAAAGTTGCATTCCATACTGTGGAAATCTGCAGCATTCCCTAGATGTCCTGTGTTTAGTTTTAAAACATTTACAGACATTCTTGAGTAGCACATTAACAGGACTCCCCTCGAACCTGGTTTAGTATATGTCTCTAATTCATGCTTCTTTGGCTGTTCCCATCTATGCATGGATCCCTCTGCTGAAATGGAGAACAGTTAGTCTTTTGTACTCTCTCCAATTTCATTGTTACAGTCATGTAATCACTTACTATGTATAGTAACATCAGGATTTACAAGGACACTTTCTTTCCCATCTCCCCCAAGTCAAACAGATTCTTCCATGAAAGATTTTGCTTTGTCACATTGAAATTGGGCTTTAGACATTTCCACTGTTAATCATTTGGAATCCACTTCAAGGGGAGCTGAACCTTTGCTCATCAGCCCACTTCAATACCTGACAGATGCATTCAGCATGTGATGTCAACTCTGTTAAATATGCTGTTTAAATCAAAGAACTGCTTTGCTGTAAAAGACATGAGCCCAGGGGAAAATACAAATACTCAAAAGTCCAGAGGAGGGTGCAACTGGAAGTGGCAATGGCCATACTCTTTGGAAGCTGCAGATGAAAGTCAGTGACTCCAGTCTGTGGCAAAGTAGGTTAAAAAAAATGAAGAGAACCTGTCTCCAAAGTGGACATCTACAAAATTCTGCCCAAAGTTTTGCATTGCCAGATGGGCTGGGATTGGAATCCTAGGAACGAGCCCTCTCAAGCTCTGAGGAAGTTCAGATCTGCACTAGCAGATCCAAACCCTTCCTCAAGCTATAGAGATTTTTGGATTGGGATATAGAGGCTCACTTCCCAGCTCAGCACCCCTTTCTAAAGCACAAGGAGATGAGAGGGGGTATTCCAGGACATCTGTCTCATTTTGAGTCATTAAATAGCTGAAATCAACCAAGGAGAAAAGTCCTAAAGCAGACTCCAGCGACCACAAGGCAGCCAGTAACAGAATTCAGTGTTACTGAAATCAGCATCACTGGTGTCTCAGTCCAAGTGAGTGCACAGCAAAACATGGGCATGAAATCAGTCAGCTGATGGGTTCTCCAGCTGCTGACAGAAAACACAGAGGCAAATCCTACCAAGCTTCCACTGAAAGCCCCTTCAGCGGAACAGGTGCAAAGGTGGGGGCAGCACATTAGGGGTCTGTGGCAGAGGTGGAGAGAAAGGATGTGACACTTCACACATCCTCAGATACTCACTCCTGAGTGACAATTATTTCAGCAGAAGTAACCTCCATGGAAGGGCTGCAGCACCTCTCCATGCCTGATGGGGATGGGACTCCTCTACTTCCACCTTCCATGCATCTGCTAAGTGCCTAGCCCAGGAGCTGGACTGAGGATCTGATCCATAACAAATGCAGAGTGGCATGCAGTCACCAGCTCCCAACTTTATTAAGGAACCTTATGCTATCACAGATGGCTTATGAGTTTTCCCTGAGCGAGGGCTGCAGCAGCAGGCACTCTGTAGTGAGTGCACAATGTATAACGTTCCCTTTAGGGTACGGAGTGCAGTTGAGAAGAACAAAGAATTTACCAGGCTGTTTTATTCTTAGCAGCTTTTCACTGTCATTTTTTAAAAGCTAGACTGAACTGGAGCCCGGGCTCTTCTGTGCTAGCCAGTATGTGGGCGGTGTCCTCTCCATCACACTGCCAGGATAGGCTGCCAGAGCAGGACTCCTCTGCCCCCTTTTGTCTAATTCACCTTCTCTCAGATTCAATTCTGTCCTTTGAAGCGCCCAACTCAGCAAGCCACCACAGAGTACAGCACACGGCATCCAACCCTTCATTCTGCCCTGAGTCCAGTGAGCGTGCATCACTGTGTATCTTATAAGATCATTTGCTTTCATACATACATGGGAGCTCATTTTACTAGTTACTGGCAATGTGCATGCTCTGGCAGAACCGACGCTATATACAGCAACAGCCCAGGCGCTGTGGTCCTGCCACCTCCCTATCCCTGCCACCTTCATTGCATCCTTCCACACCAACCATAAAATATGTCCTCAAGTGAGCAGGGTAAATGTAATAACTTTACCTGGTCCTGCAGCTTTTGAAACATTAGTGGGTGAGGTTCTTCCAATATTGTCTCATTCAAACGGGATTGTCCTTCAACATTGACTTGGCAGGAAGCTTTACTGGACAGGAAAGTCATGTAAATTTCTTTAGCTTTTTCCTGCATCTGTGAAAGATCAAATATTTACAATGGGAACATGTAATTTTGCCAGAGTCCTCCTTCAAGACATGCTAACAGCATGGGAGATGCCTCTATCAGGGGCAATATCTTAGAAATAAGATATTTAGTCAAAAGAAAGAAAGTGTGCAGTAAGTCAGTTTTTTCATGTACATTCTGGCTGGGATTTCCAAAGGATCACAAGGGAGTTAGTTACCCAGATCGTATTTGGGGACCTAACTCCTTTAGGTTCCTTTGACTATCCCAGCTCCTGACTTCTGTTCTGAAACGTTTATGATTAAATACAAAGGACTTGATTCTCCTCTCACTTACACAGGTGTGAATCAGGAATAAAACAAGCAGGAGAGGAGAATCAGGCCCCAGAATGCCACATCATGCAGTACATTCGCTTTCCTCTTTTGTATTGTAGAAACAAACAGGCAAAGAGAGAAACCAGACAGAAATCATATATTTGTGGCCACACTATATCTAATAGTGACATATACATCATTTCATTCATCATTTAGGAAAGAGATACTCAAAGAAAGGCCCAATCCTGCAACATGCTGAGTGTTCACTGACTTTAATGGGAGCGGACAGAGCTCGGCACTTCATTCAAGAAGTCAGTACCTTGTAATGATCTGGCCCTGATCATGCAATTATGTAACTGCACAGGGCTTGTCACTGTAGCTGAAGAGATTGGGTGTGTCTTATTTGAGGTAATTTATTTTTCACTGTTTGCTCTGACAGCAACATATGTTCTGTTTCAGTGGCCTTCTCTTCATAAAGCAGGAATAATAATGATAATGCTTAGACTCATACAGCACTCTTCAACTTCAAAGCACTTTATTAAGGACCCCAATCCTGCTCCCACTGAAATCAATTACAAAACCTCCTTGCTTAGGAAGTTCATGGAAGCAGATAAAAGAATGAGCACAGTGGGAGACTATATTTATTTTAAAGCCACCTGAGATGTAAATCTCAAACTGGTGTTCTAAATTTTTCATGCTTGGAGCTGCATACCAGCAGACACTAGAAGATAATTAGCAATGGGTAACCATAAATATTCTGTATTGTATATTTAATGAGGAACAGTATTCATAGAGCAGCACAAGCCAGAAGACTGCATCTGTGATGGGAAGTGAGGCTGAAGAGGAAAGCACTTAATCCGTTGGCCAGGAACAAATCACAGGAATACTTTTATGTTTTACAGTTCAGAATAGACATGTGGGGATAATTAAAAACAAACAAACACCTATACAAGTCTGACTATCTTAGTGTATTCCTAAGGTCTAAAGAATTAACCCTCTCACAGCTGATAGCATGCACATGTTGTGCGGCAGCATTTCTTTTTAAAAGAGAATATTCATTCAGGAGCATGAAACATCAGGATATAACAGATACAGTAGCTCATACTGAAGGAGTATTTTGGGGTGCCATACTGCCTAGGGCTGTGATCTTTGTCAATTTCACACTAAAGAGGGTAGGGTCACTCAGGCCTGCTCTCCATGCATCTGAAGAAGTGGGTTTTTTACCCACGAAAGCTTATGCCCAAATAAATCTGTTAGTTTTTAAGGTGCCACCGGACTCCTTGTTGCTTTTACTGATATAACTATGTCCATTAGATGTGTTCTTTTAACCAATACAATTATATTGATATAAACACTACTCGAAATGCAGTTATACTGGTATAAAGGTGCCTTTTACGAGGATAACTTATTTCACTTCCTCAACCAGAATAAGCTATACCAATATAAGCACTTTTAGATCAGTAAAACTTCATCCACACTGGGGCAGAGAGGGTAGGTAACTTTAATTATATCGGTATAGTTAAAGCAGCAACATTTTCTAATGTAGAGGAGCCTTCAAGGCAGGGGTAGTCAATTATTTTTTATCAAAGTCCAAATTTCTTAGTCAAGGTATAGTCAAGGTTCAGACTCCGGAGAAAATAATAATAAAAAATAACAATAATGGTGATAATAAGTAAATAAAAAGATTGCAGAGTCCATTGAAAAGTGTCTGGTGATCCAGATTTGACCCAGGGTCCACCTATTGACGACCCCCTGCTTCAGGGTATACCTACACTGCAGCTGGGAGGTGTGATTCCCAGCGCGAGTAGACAGATTCATGCTACCTTCACTTGAGCTAGTGCACTAAAATGGCAGTGTGGATGTTGTAGCACAGGGAGCAATCCAGGCTAGCCACCCAAGTCCAAGCTCACCTGACTCCCTGGATCCCAGCATAGGTGGCTAGCCCAACTGCAACACCTACACTGCTATTTTTAGCATGCCAGCTCAAGTGAAGCTACTGTGAGTCTGTCTATCCGGGCTGAGAATCACAGCGCCCAGCTGCAGATATGCCCTCAGAGACCTTCCAGAAAAACCCACTTCTGAGCAGGAAGTAAGAAAGTGATGTCAGTGATTCAGTAGATGGCACTCTTCCTTCCTTCTGTGTCAGCTGGGTGACAAAAAAGGACTGTGTTTTCTTATAAATAAGATTTAAAACTGAGATCTTACTCATGTGTGGTCATTAAAGATCCCTTGGAACTTTTCATTAGTATACATGTGCTCGCCCCACTGTCCTGGCCAAATTCCAATTTGGACAATAAGGTTCTGTCTACAGAAATCCCCCTTGCTGTTTCAAATGGATAATATTCCTCTTTACTTCCTTTCCCAGAGTCAAGTTCGGCTCTCAGACACATGAACGGTTCCCAGAAGAAATAACTGGGGAACCCCAGATGTTCATCAGAAGCTAGACTCTGGTATTTAAACTGTTATTTAGCATTGCTGAGCTCTGTTTAAACATTGGCACATTCCAGCCTAGAAGTGGCAGCAGAGATTCCTGAACATATGAAGGTTGCAAGGTGCTTTGAGACCCTTTGAAATGAAAGGTGCTATATTGAAATGAAAGGTGCTATATATATTTCTGCTACCATATGCAACAGGAGAATCTTCACTGTAGCATTTTGCTAAATTTTCCCTATGACTGAAAAGTAAAAAAGATTGCATATGATTGGATGGTTCTTAGTCCCTATCTGTGTTTAGTTTTAAAGTGCATTTGAAAAGGAAGAAATATTTTAACAGGGTGAGCAGATACAAAAGGTCTTGATGTTTGTTTGTTTTTAAATCATGAACACACAGCAACTGCAAACAACTGATTCTAATGAAATGCTCACCATTATTTTTAATAAAAAAAACCATGTTGTTAATTAAACAAGAATCACTTTTGCTCTATAAAATAATAGTGTCCAGGTGCTAGAAGAAGTGTACCAGGCACTAGTGGTGGGGCTTTTTGTTGTTGTTTTTAACATATTTTTAAACCTGTTGAGTTGTTTGAAAGCTGGCCACTGAACATAACAATACTTCTACTTAAGAACACTAATCAGCATTTATATAGCACGTCCAGTGATCAGCTTTACTGACATTAGCTAATTAACATAGGGGTGACTATAAAAAAAAAAAGAGTTAATGTGGAAGAGATACTGAAAACGACACTGTATGAGTCATCAGCCCAGTTGTGGAGGGCACTGATTAGTGACAAGCTGGGGAGAGGTAGCATGACCCTCAATTAATGAATGAAAGCAGTAAAGGTATTTCAAAAACTTTTTACCAGCACATTTATGTAATCATTCATCATCCTGACATTATTCAGACTTGAGCAAAGCCAAATTATGCTACAGATTGACACAAGAGGTCACAATAATATTGTGCCATAGAGAGATGCTCTTTTAAGCCATTTAGGCTAGTAGGGGGGTCTGAACTCACCTGGAGGGTGTCTGTGCATGAATTTGCAACAGTTTGGTTAACCAACGTGTGTGTGTGAACTCTTTTTTTTGTTTTGTTTTTTGTTAAAGAGTAATTTATTCCACTTTAGCTTAATTTGATAAAGAATGGGTTTAAGCTAAATTGAAATAAGTCTGGTTTAAACCAAAATAAGAGTGTCCACACAGCCTTCTGTGCCTGTTTAAACTGGTTTAAAAATGACACCATAAGTTAAATCAGTGCAGGTGTGTGTAGAGAAGCTGTCGGAGGAGACAAATATGTAAAATGTGGTGAGAGAGGACTTTAATAAATTTTGAATACACAGACGTAGAAAAATAGGGACAAAAGATTTCGGCGGCTAAGGAAAGAAAGAGCAGGAAAGTCTCATTCTTTGAATTTTTTGAACAGATGTGGGACTGATCTGAAGCCCATGGGAGCCTTTCCCCTTCTCACTAATGGGCTTTGGATCCGGCCCTTAAAGAGTGTGAACCGGACTTCTGAATTTATAGTGAAAACTACTGCCCCAGGGGTAGAGAATGCAAGGTACCATCCTGCCACGTCAGGCATTTTAATCTACATGAAGGAGCAGAGCAGGCTAGCAGTTAAAGCCCTAGGCTGAGTGCCAGGAGTCCTGTTCCTGGTTCTGCCACCAGCTTGTTGTGTTCTTGTCGAACTTTAACGTTGTAAGCAAGTGGCACTTATTTGCAACTCTAATTCTGTCCTAAACGTTTTTGCCTGTGTATAGCATTTGTGGTGAGAGAAAACACTGCAAATTATACAGGGCCAAATTATGGCTGCTCCAGTGTATGTGGCGGGGCACTAGAAGAGGAAGGCAAAAGACACTGTTGTGCACTAATTTAGCAGCTGTCATCCTTCAGGTAGAGGGTAGAAGGCTCCAGTGTTGCCAGCTAGACACACTGTCCTTGCCCACTAGACACACTGAAAAGAGTAGGCAAGGTGACGATGCAGGAGCATACGTAGTATTTGTCATAGACAGTAGTAACTGTTGCTCGTGAGCATACTTTCCACAGTATGCCTGGAGGTACCATGCCGGCTCCTGGTCTCTGCAGGCATAATGTCTCCAGTAGCTGTTGCTAGTAAGGCAGTACACCTCCTTAAACCTGCCTCTGACTCCTAGTACCGCAGGACAGGCCCCATTTGACAAGAAAATAGGCCCAAAAGACTAGGACTCAGGACTACCTCAATCAGCATATAGAATAATGGACATCCATGGAAACTGGGTGTGTT